ACTGGCCCTGAAGGGATCATCTGTCCTGGATTCCCTGTGTTTCCAGTTCCTATCTGTACCAGTGTACATCCTCTGGTCTAGCTGGATTTGTAAGGTAGAACTGGGATCTTGATGGTGGAGGAAGCATCTAGGAACTAGAGGAAAGCTGTGTTTCATTGTCGCTACACTGCATACTGGCTTGTCGCCTCCCCACAACTGTTCTGTAAGGGGATGTCCAGTTGCCTACAGATGGGCTTTGGGGTCTCCACTCTGCACTCCCCCCTCAATCACAATGATTTTTTTGTCCTTTGATGTCTGATACCTGATCTTTTCAACACCTTGTGATCACAGGCTGGTGTGCTTTAAGCCTTTTATAGGGAACACAGGCTATAGGATTCCCCCTGAAGTGCTTAACTAGGGATATAGCTACAGACTTGGACTATGACTCAAGTTCTGTCACACTCGCCTGAGCCCTTTTGGGCTGACAAACGCTCTGCCATCTTTTCTTCCGACTCCGACCCTTGCACACCTCAGAGTCCCTCCCACAGCACTCCCAGATCACCGGACACAAGGACACAGCTACTGAACCCTTTATCACACAGCAACGTGCACAGCCCTCACGGGGCTGCCCTCCACGAGTGGAGGAGGAGGGCTGCTTGGCAGAGTGCTTCACACTCCAGGTGGGCCAGAAACAACATCTTCAGCTTTGTTTCCACGCAACTCTTCTCGGTGAGCCGGCCGGCCAACAGAGTGGCCGCCGACTGCTGGAGGAGCCAGCCGACCAGCTGGTCTAATTTCAGGCTCTTCGGGGCCAAGATGTCTTCACCCCACAGCTTTAAATGAAGCACATCGGCAGCCACTCGGGCAGCTGGCCTCTGAAATGAGAGGGGCAGCTGGACCTCAGCACACTGTGCCCCCACCCCCCGGCTTGGTTAATTTCTGGGTCTTCATCTCTGCTCAGCCCAGTCTCTCCTCCTACTCCGCTTCACAAAGCAGACACACTGCTGCTCTCGCCCCAAGCGCCGGGCTTTTCCCGGGGCTGTGTGCCCTGCTTGGAACAGCCGCTTCCATTCACTGTGGTGGCCGCCACACCTCCTCACACTGCCCTGTCCCCATGCACGGAATTCCTCACTGCAGCTCTGCTAAGGCAGGCGTCCACTCCCCCCAAGCAGGCCCAGTGGATTTCCGCCCCCTGCCGGGCCTGGGAGAGATCCTGACAGAAGTAAATGATTCAGTTGTGACGGTAAAAACTTGGTACGGTGGCGTGGGGATTGGTCAATATTACCCTCCTGCTGGGTAGAAAACGAGCCACCTCAGAGCAGGCAGGAAGAGGGTCTCACTACTATCAGGAGTGCAGTGTGTCCTTTGGCCCCCAGGTGCCTGTGCATAGGGCCTCTTCCATCCAGGGACAGAAAGCTATGACACCAGGGAAGAGGCCACGGGTGGCACCAGCAGAACCGAGTCAGAGCAGAAATAGCAGCTAGCAGGCTTCCTGGTGCACACAGCCTTAAAGGTGGGTGCCTTCAGGCGGGGTGTGCGTGCGGGGTAGGGTGCCTCGACACTTGGTTCAGGCTGAGGCTTATGGCAGAGTGGTGTACCCTTTGGACATTTGTTGGCATCGTTAGCTTTGTAACTTGCAGCGGAGAGGTCAAAGCTGGTAGGTAAGGCTAAGAGGAGCTTCTGACCAGAACTATCCTGAGCATGTCTGATCCTAATCCCACGCAAGTGAGTGTGGCCCGTGAGTTGTGTGGCCATCGCGGTGGTTTACAAATTGGACAGACAGTGCACCCACCATGGGCCTGCTGGTGAGAGACCCGGTAAAAGGTTGGAGGTGGAGGCCTAGCTGCTGGAATGCCTCGGGCCGATTCTGTGAAGCCAGAAGCGGGCAAATGTGCACTTCCACACCCTTCTGTACAACTGCCTCATCCCTTATCCTGGAGGTTGGAGGAAGCAGTCTCCCCCTAATGGCAGAAATTGCCATTTCCACTTTGAATACATTGCCCTTTATCTTCTCTGGCGCCTGGCGGCGGCGTGGTTACCAGTTTGAAACCACAGGCGCTGCACGGGGAGAGGGCCTTCTACTCCCAGCAGGCGTGACTCTTGGAAACCCACAGGGCAGCGACCTTGTCCTTCGGGGTTGCTGAGAGTCGGGGTGGTCTCCATGGTAGCGAGCTCTAGCTTCCTCTACGGTGATTTCAAAGTGTCTGCATCTGAGCTTGGTAGATGTTTCCCTGCCTGACTATATCTTGGCCGTTTCCGTAAGCTACATCCCTTAAACATCAAATATCTCCCTTCTCCTCTGAGGTGTTCGATGCCGTCAAGTGGATTTTGGCACCAGGAGCCTGTGTGGCAGAGCAGAGCTTCACCACGGAGTTTCTAAGTTGGCGTGTTTGAGAACAGACCGCCAGGGCTTTCTCCCGGGGCGCTTCTGGGTGGGGTGAATCACCAACCTTTCCATTAGCAACTGAAAGGTTGCACCACCAGGCTCCCAAGTTAGGAAGCAGCCGAGAGCCATGAAGAGCAAGCAGCACTGCTAGGATTCTGCTGAAGGGGTGGCTAGCCGCCATTTCAGTGACTAGTTATACCCCATTGGACTGGCCCCTCGTGCTTGTCCAAACCTGCCCTTCACTCTGCAGTGTGAACCAGGGTTTCTAGCGCCACAACCCACAGCACCTGGCCGCTGTGGGCGCACCCTCACCTTGCTGGCCTTTCGCTGGAGCAGTGACCTCACCAGGCACCTGGTGTCTGCAGGCACTGACTCGGGCAGTGCCGGCAGCTGAGCCTCTTGGTAACTGCGGCTTTCCAGGTGGGCCGGGCCCTGGCTGTAAAAGGGATTGGAGAGCCCGAAGATCTCATAGGCGATCGTCCCCACGGCCCAGACGTCCGCCTTGCTGTAGTCGATCACTGCGCCGGGGCCAGGACAGGCTGTGGACACCTGCTCGGAAAGGGAAAGCAATGGGTCAGCAGTCCGAGACTGGCAGGTCACTGTCCTCACACATCCAGAGCCCTGTCAGGGAACCCAGCAGTGAAGTCCACAGTGGCTCAGCCCCAGGAGAATCTGCAAGGAGCTGGTCCCGTTCCCCAAAGCCCCTGGGAACATGGGAGAGCAGATGAAAGCCCGGGGCAGGGAAGGGGCTGGTGCCAAATTAGGGGTCAGAAAGGATGGAGGTGCCGAGGAAATCACGGGGTGTCAAGTCTATCATGTCACGGGAGGCGTGGGGGAGGTTTCTGCTGAGGACAGGTGCACGGCAGGACGCACCTCAGGAGCCATCAGGCAGCCGTTTCCACCCCGGTCCACATAGCAGCTGGTGAAGGGCAGCTGCAGGCCGATGCTCGCGTCCGCCAGGCAGCAGCCAAAGTCAGTGATCACCAGCCACGGGCAGCCGTCTGCAGAGGGCCGGCACAGGTCAGAGCTGCTGCTCCTGAGCCCGCTACAGCCACCACCAAGCCCTGGGCGAGGAGGCCTAGTGGGGACTGTTGGCCCACGGGTGCGTAGCCTAAGGCCTGGATGGGAGTCCCCTCACCAGAGCTGAACAGGAGGGTCAGTCCATGAATACAGAAACAAAAACCCCAAGCAAGTAACTGCTGGATAATAACCCAGCAACAGGAATGGATCCAAGACCCAAGGCGGCGCTCACAGGGGCTTGGCTCTAAGGGCCCTGCATCTCATGAACCTTTGATCTGAACGTGAAGCCCGTTTCAAGTTAAAAAAACAGGGGCATTAAGAATCAGTTGTCGATTGGTATGAGGCTCCCGATTCCTTTTAAAAATGTATGTAACTATTTAAAACCTGATTACTCCAATTTTATCAGATGCCCGAATCTTCTTCACCATAGTCCCCAGATGGCAATAAAGCTGCTCAAATGCTTCTAGTAATAGGGAACTCGTTATTCCCAGGGGCAGCTGGGCTTATGTTTTTGCAAGAGTATGTGAACGGAAAAAGTCCCTAGGTACCCCTGCACCCTGGATGTCTCAGTGGGCGAGGGGCACCTACCTGCGTCCAGCTCCACAAGGATGTTGTCCGACTTTAAGTCTCTGTGTGCGATGCCCTGTTGAACCAGGTGGTCCACCCCTTCCAGCAGCTGCAAGGTCATCATGGTGGCGAGCCGGGGGCTCGGGGCAGCCGTGCCAAGATACTGGCGCAGCGTACAGGGATAACTAGGGAGGGGACAGAGCGGCAGGCTAGCAAGAGCATACCAATGGTCTCTAGCACCTTCCTTACTGCCTCAGGCTTCTGGAGATCGTCTCATCGGTGGTGCGTTTGAAGTCCCTCCCTGAACTTTCTGTTCCCACCCTCTCATTCTGAGATGACAGCCCTTGAGTTTCCTGAGAAGCTCCCAGAACGTTAAGAGGCTGTAGAACAGCGGTTCTCAACCTGTGGGTCTTGACCCCTTTGGGGGTTGAACGACTCTTGCACAGGGGTCGTCTGATTCATAACAGTAGCAACATTACAGTTAAGTAGCATCGAAAATAATGTTATGGTGGGGGGGGCGGTCACCACAACACGAGGAACTGTATTAAAGTTGTCTGGGCATTAGGAAGGTTGAGAACCACTGCGGTAGAGGGTGATGCAGAGGGGGTTGTCATGCCGAAAACAGGCCGGGGAAGCTGTAGAGAATATGCCAAGGAGCAGATTGTCCTCAAGGGAAGGGCTCCCCAGCGCAGAACAGACACCCTGCTGGGAGTATGGTGTCTCCCAGCAGGCTAGCTCCTCTTCCTGGAAACCCGATGTGCATGCTGGGAGGGCAAGGCCCAGCCACACCCCTGCCACTTACTCACTTCTTCATAACGAGGAAAAGTGTCCTTCCGTGGCCCAGGCCACTGGGGTGGAGGCGTGGGGGTAGCATGTCAGGGTAGTCGATCAGGGCCCCGGGCAGCAGTGGCACAGACGAGGTGAAGGCGCGGACAACCCGGATGATGTTGGGGTGAGGGGCGAGTTGCTTGGGACCTCCTTTGGCTCTTCTATTTCAGACAAGAGAGCACAGCCGGAAAGGAAAGCCCTCAGCACCCCGCATATCGCCATCCTAGCCCTGACCCCGTGGCGTGGCTCTGGACCGTCCAGCTCCTCAGCCACACCAAGAACACATAGCGGCAGGCTGCCTGGTTTTTGAAGGACAAAAACTGGTTGCAAGCTGCAAACACCCATAACTGTTCTGGCGCCCCCAGATCCTGTCACTACTGGTGAGTGCGAGGTTTGCAGGCTGTACCACCAGGTGGTGCTCTCCAGCTGCATCACTCCGTCCCCCAGTGCCCGGAAGAGTGGACTTCCTGCCCTTGTTCCACTGTGAGTCCACCATCTACAATTCAGGTGTCCTCACACCCGCCGGGTGTTTTGCCCCATTTGTTTTTTTACTTCAAAATAAGATAGGTGCAGTGTGCATAGGAATTTGTTTATAGTTTTTTTTTAAACTATAGTCCAGCCCTTCAACAGGTCTGAGGAACAGTGAACTGGCCCCGTCAAAAAGGTTTGAGGACCCCTGATCTACATCCCTGGTGGAGCCTGGATGATCTGCAGTCGTTCCCAAGCTGAATTGGCCCCACGAACTATGGCATTGGGGCAGAAGCCGTGCTGAGTGCTGGGGACTGTTAGCTTGGTGGGCCACACACCAAAGACCCTCACCTGTAAGGGACTGCTCCGTAAGCCCCAGAGAGGGCCGCCCGGCTCGCGGGGACCAGCTCCTGGCTCATTGTGTTCAGGATGGCTTCGCTGGAAGAGCCCGCCTGCAACAGAGTCACGGGGAAACCAGTCCCACACTCCCGAGCTAACCTCCCTAACGCGGCAGACCACACCCGGCGTTCCCAGGAGATGAAGATGGTGGTGGGGCCATCCCTGCTAACTCGTGTCAAGACGAATGAAGGTGGAGTGCATGGAGAGGTCTCTTCAGTGTCTGCACTGACTAGCAGGCTACCGCCCAATGAACTCCAGCCTGGATGAGGGACCCCATCCCAGCCCCGAGAGTGAACTCCAGGGGGGAAACCACCTCCTCCTCCCCCCCCCTTCACTACAGATGGCCCTGACCACCAATGAGCCGATTCTGACTCGGTGACCTACAGGACAGAGCAGAACTGCCCCTTTGGGCTCCGAGACCTTAACTCCCGTTGGGAGTGGACATCTGTCTCCACGGAGCAGCTGATGGGTTCAAACTGCCGCCTTGGTGGTCAGCAGCTCGGTGCATCGCCCCTAGGCTACCAGCGGGCTTGGCACCCATGAAACCGTGACAGGAGCAAACCGCTCCTCTCAGATTCCAGTCTCTGGTAACGAGAGCCGCCCTGCTTCACCACCCAACCCGGGAAGCCGTGGTGCTGGGACGGGCGGCTGCACGGCCGCTCCTGGATGGCTAGGGGCCCAACCTAGCTGGGGGAGCAGCAGTCTGAACCCCATTCTCAGAGCTGGCCTGGGTGCAGCAGCTGCCTTCCACACTGGCCTTGGCGAGTGCTCTGGGCGGGAGAAAGACTGTCAGGTTGTGAAGATTTCCCCAAACCACTGTGCAGTGGCAGGCTAGAGTGGAATCAGCTGTTCCTGTCGGGGAGCAATGCTCTTCGAATCTCCAAAGACGGCGAGTCGGGTCTTGGGAAGGAGGATGGGGGTGGCAACTTCAGGCAGACCTGAAGCAACCCTGGCCCCAGTGGTGTAGTGGGTGGTATGCTGGGCTGCTAAATGCACAATCAGTTTGAAACCACCAACTGCCCCATGCGAAAGAGATGAGGCTCTATTCCTCACAACGTTTGTAGTCTCGGGAACCACCGGAGCAGTTCGACCCTGTGCTGCAGGGTCGCTGTGAGTCAGCATCGGCTTGACAGCAGGGAGTTTCTTTTGACAGTGTGGAGAGCAATACCCAGACCCTGCCTACTCAGGCATGGTCCACGGACCAGCCTGCCAGCCTGGGGGACCTCTCCAAACGCTGAGCTGCTGTTTTCCCTGTTCCCAGGGGATCTGTGGACACACAAACCCAGGGGACCCTGGCTTGAGGCAGGTGAAGAAGCCTAGGTATCTAGGTCCTTTCCTGGGCAGAATGTGTGTGCTCCCATCTGCTCACCAGGGCTGGCAGAGAGAAGGGAAGGGGCGCGTCCTCACCGAGATGTTCCACATCATCTTGATGGCTAGGGGAAAGGGCGCGCTCGCCTCAGTCTCTCCGTGTGGTGCCACAGCGGGGCCCCTCGAGGTCAGCAGCCTGTGGTGCCCTGCTCCCTGCGGGTCCTGCCGCCCTGTGGGCACCGTGGCTTCATACACAGCAGCGCTGCAGCCCTTGCCAATGGAACGCCCTATGACATACTCCTCCAGCTGGAAGCCCTGCCAGCGCTTGCTGTCCAGCGGCTCCGGCAGCAGCTTGTTTTTCTGGGTAAAAATTGCCTGTGAGGGACAAAGAAGGCCGGGTGAGGCTGGGATGAGGCGGGGTGGGGCTTGGTCATCACGCTCGGCTAGAGGCAGGCAAGGGGTCTGTACCACGCATGCTGGCTCAGGCCAGCCTACCTCTCTCATAACTCAGAAGGGTGTTTCTCAAACTCTTCCCACTTTGTTGTCATCAGAGACAGCCCAGCATAGCTCACTGGGGACCAGTGAGGTCACAACTTCTGCACTGTGCAGCTGGCATGTGCTCCACCCTGAGGCCCATTCCTGGAGAGTCCAGATTAAGAGATGGCTCTCTCTGCAGAGACAATGGCTACCAGAACCTGGGGTTGGGCCGGAGTATGGGATCGACAGTCGAAGCCTTAGCTTGCAGGGTGGGATCAGGAGGCTTCCTGTAGCCGAGGCTCTGTCAATGGCAGCCCACTATTAGGAAAGGGAACTGGAAGTGTCGGGACAGAGCTCATGGAGTGAAGGCGTGGTGGGCTGGGTGCACTGGGAGAGGCCAAAAGCCTGGGTGTGCACTCCTCCTTCGGGCACTGGTGACGTTCCTCCACTCACCAACCTCCACCTTGCTCCTCATCGCCCCATCTGCTGATCCCCACCTTCCAATTCCACCGTCAGGCACTCACGGGTGCTGGAAGGACAACCCTATATACCCTCCCACCCCCCCACTCCTGCAGGCCCTAAGGCAGCGGTTCTCAACCTGTGGGTCGCAACCCCCATAGGGGTTGAATGACCCTTTCACAGGGGTCGCCTGATTCATCACAGTAGCAAAATGACAGTAATGAAGTAGCAACGAAAATAATTTTATGGTTGGGGGTCACCACAACATGCTGAAGGTTGAGGACGCTGCCCTAAGGGCACCCAATTGCAGACTCTCCCACTCGCATTTCACTCCCTCACCAGCTCTCTGCTCAGAGTAACCCTGCAGTTTTCTCTGCTCAAGTGCTCCCCACCGTCCTGCTTCCTGACCCTGGTGAGAGCTGCTTCCCCCGACCACCAGTCTTCATTTTCCTGGATGAAGGCGAGAGTGGGACTCCGGGCTGTACCCTGGTGCCTGCTGAGGTTGTAGGAAAGGTCACGTGGTGGAGCGGGCTCCCTGGCAGTGCAGGCGAGGCTGTTTGCCCAACGCTCGCCCCCCAGCACTTGGTGTCATCGCCCTTTCATTCTGTTCCAATACACGTGCCTTGACTTCTCGTGGTGATGCCAGTTTTTGCCTTCCATTAGGTTTTCTACGCGCTTCTCTGGCACCTGAACTTCCTCTGGGTTTGTCTCATTTGGCGACTGTTGTTCCGTTTAAAATGCCTCCATCTGATGCCACTACTCCACACCGAGGGTGGGGGAGGCTGCCAGGTGGGCTTTTGAGCCTGGCAGATCTTTCAGCTGATTGATCTATTGATGAAAGTCAATTGACAACTCGTTAAAGATGTGAAGACAGGCGGGTGCAGTGTGAGAGGAGGGCAGATGGAAGGGAAGACCAGGAGGACCAACTGCTGGATTACAAAAAATGCCTCCCTCCTGGTCCGTATTCTGGGCTTCCAAAGTTTCCCACTCCTGGCTTCTGCCAGTTAAGCGGTGACCAAGACACGGGCAGGGGCTGGGGCCAGGCAGATGGCACCTGTCATTCAGAACTGGTCAGAGATCAAACATGAGTCTTGTGATGAGCAACGAGAACTCGGCCGGAAACCAGGAAACACAGATGATACCGCTTGGTCCTCAATCAGCTCGGTGTCCTTGGGTCCTGACCGGCCCCGTGCAAGGGAGGGGCTACACTGCCCCAGGAGCGGCCTGAGTGCAACAGACAGCCTCTTCCGGGTCAGGAGGGCCCAGGTGGGCCCGGGAGAAAGCTCCTCTGGCTAACACGTGGGCTCTGCGGTTTGCCCCTGCAGCTCAGATTTCACTGCGGCTCCAAGGTCACTCACTCATCACTGCACGGCTAACCCGTGGCGGAGGCCAGGCTCCATGGCTAAGGCGTTCTTAGCTGTGTGACTTTCAGCAGGTTACCTCGCCTCTCTGAGCACGTTTTCTCATTCCTACACTGGGGACGACAACTACCTCCCGGCGCGGGAGGGTGATGATTTAGTTGTCATTAAATGTGCTCAAGGATGGGAACAATTGTGAGGATGGTGGAGGACCCCGCAAGTGTTTCCTGCTGTGGTGCAGAGAGAGGGTAGCTAGCTGTGGGTAGGACCGGCCTCGATGGCACCTAACACCAACAGCGGCAGAATCTGAGAAACTGCACACAGGCTCACTCGCCCGGCCCCTGGTGTCACTGGCGCTGTAAGAGGAGGTGAT